ACTATACACTGACTGCGTGTGCACCAGGTGCGATAAGTGAGAGGAGCCTCTTTTTGAAGGGTGCATGATAAAGTCCAAGTCCGGGCAAGTTGAGACTGCAAAAAATTAGGCTGCCCAGGTGACGATCTAATACCTGCGAACGCCGAATGCGGTGAACGCAGGCAAGAGCAGGGAGGCGCATGAGCACGGACGCAAGTTCAGCTTAGACGTTATCGGTGATGAATACATGTGCAGTCGTATGAATATTCATGCACGCAGAATTTGCCTGATAAGTAGGTTAGATGTAACGAAGTCACTTTATACAAGATCATGAGCTAGTTCTCTGACCCTACATGATATTGTGCACATTTTACTCCCAACTTATATCATAACTCATCAGACCATTTATTAAGAAGACGCAGGCCTTACTTAGGTATTTATGCTACCCAAGGTAAACGCAGGATATTCAATCTAACCACGGTGCATTCAGCAAAGTAATTCGAGTAATTCAATAGTTGAAACTTATAGTCATATAAATAAGACCAAAACTGTGACAGAAGATCGGAATGGTTATTTGTGAAAAGTCAGCAATGAAATTCATCGCTAAAATAAAAATAGCAAAAGATGTTGAAGGTGCACCTAGAATGAAAACTACTTTGGTTCTGAAAAGACAGTGAACAATAGAAACGACGGCATTGTAAGACAGAGCGAATACTTTGTGCTATTTCTTCAAATGGGCATTCTATAGGACAGCCACCTTTCGATTTTGCACTGTGGGCTTCGCATATTACTTCTCCTATATCCAACGCATTTTGCAGTATGGTAGTGATGGTCGTTGCGGATGCAATCACGAGAAGCATTTCAAACCAACCGTCTTGAATATGCTCTTTTTTCCTGGCATAAACAGCTACGCATTTAAATTTGACAGGAAGTTACAGACCGGCATTCAGACGTTATCCACAGCGGTCTCGTGGCAATGGAGTTTGAGGCATTATAGACAGTACGTACATAGAATGTGCGGTAGGATGTACAATCTGCTTACATTTCTTTAGAGGCGATTAGTCTAAGAATGTTGACAGGACACATGACTTACAGCCTTGTAAAGAAAATGACGCGATCACATGGCGAAGGCTTTGACTTTATCTTAGCGCAAGTAGACGATTATGAAAACGACAGGGGTGCTTATCATCTCAAATATAGATGCGCCACTTTCCGGAAGTATTCTGCCAGTGCAACGCTCGATGGCATTTGATCCAAAAATATTGATGGGGTGGTTTAGGTAATTTGATAGGCGACTCTTAAAAATTAGGCCGGCTTTCGGTGGAGATGCAAAAAGCCACCCGCCTTCGTCTGCACTTCGAACACTTTATTTCTACTAACATATTGAAAATTGCATAAAGGTCGAAAGGTGGACGCTACATTTAGCAGATGGTGACGAAAAGGGCGACTTGAATTGTATTGGAAGGCTACCTACGCGCGGTAGACACAGGCCTAGCAAAAGTACGCCTTTAAATGCGGGCCGGCATTTGTGCCGGGCATAAGTCCTCCAACTGTAGAAACTCTCTTAGGTTACCAGCTGGTTTACCAAGAGACAACTGAGTAAATGCAAAAAATGCTGCATTCAACGTATTTTTCAACAGCATGATGGTATAGGCCGACTGTTGGAAGAAATAAAGCGTTAACGTTCACATTTATGAGTATAAACTTATTTTGCATGACGCTGATCTAAGACGGATGAATTTGGTGAGCAGTCAAGGTCAGTAACTTTGCACCAGAAAATTACTGCACCTAAGTGATGGATTTTGCATTAGTAAAGAAAGGACGGTTAAAACTTCCCGGCATAACAGGCATGATTCTTTTTACTCTAGGTAATGGGAAAAGCAACACTGACATGTCATTGATTTGTTAATATAAAACGTCTGAGGCACCGTTTTTCGGAAATTAAGGCTATTGGGTGATTATTCGGGAGAAGATAACTTGTGTTAAATGCATTTTTATTTTTTCGGTGCTGCTAAAATTGGTGCTTTCGTGTGAGTATACTACCTACCGCCACTCCATCGGGATTGAGACTATGCATAAACGTGTGGTTTCAAAAGTAGCGGCTTCTTCTAGGTCTAGTACTGATAATCTATCTCAGATAAGCCGGTGTCCGACTGTCGATGACTAACAGATGTCCTTGAGTACACACGCATGAAAAGTTGCAAAAATTTCAAAATTAAAACAAGAGCGATATATAGTGGACTTACCATTTGGCATGATCATTACTGATATAATCAAAAATACTGTGATAACACACAGCGCGCCGTGGAATAAATCATCCTCTAAGGGATAACCCGTAGATCTTAAATATAATATTAAATTATGTCGACATTTGCTACTAACTTGCCTCGTGAACGCAACCCATGTTAATGCGGCAACTATGACAATCAGAATAGTTATTGAACGCGACTGATAAAATATGTTAAGGGTGATATCTTCGACGGGCTGTTGCTCGATGTTTTTTTTGAAATATTCCTTGTCCACGCTTGACTCTGAAAATAGCCGGCGTCGAAGGCCTTGGAAACGTCCGACTTTTGCACCCGGTATTTTCGATGAATTCATTTTTCACAGAAAAAATTTGCCAACATTAATTTACACAAATTGAAATGAAGTATACGGGCGATAAAATCAAATGATCGTGGTGAATCCCAGATTTTAACTTTTTCGCTTAAATTGCAGCCTAGTAAAAGAAGTACTAAATTTAGCTACTGTTATTTACCTTTTCTATTACATTCTTTATGTACCTGACCTTCAGGATTCTCCTAATTTTCCCCTTTTTTTCTAATTCCCTTCCTTATGCGTCTAAAAGCCTCTTTGGAAATCTCCGTTCATGATCACTATTCTTTCTCATTAATAAATGCATACAATGCAGCCTCTGCAGCAAGCTTTTTGCTAAAACTAAAATACCCATAGCCTTTTTTTAGTGCCCTCACCCACAGATACCCAAGCGTTATCAATAACAAATATGTTTAATGTTTTGAGTCCGGCGTTGTAGGTTGCTTCGGTCCTCTCAACGACGATAGGAACATATGCGCCATACATTTGTTCGCTATTGGACTACATATTATGTACATGAATAATACGCAACCTGCCTTGTTTTCGTTATACTTACGTTTCATTATTACTTTCCAGCGACTTAAAGGACAAGTGAACGGCAAAACTGCATTTTATATGTCCTTGTATATATCAT